AGTGACTCTCATCCATGTGTAAGAGGGAGCTTTATATCCAGAAGTAATGCTCGATCAACCAACCAGCCCAGCCCAGTCACATCAAGTCATCAGTCTGAGACTAGTCCAACAGTCTGCTATGAGTCCATAAATCCCTCTTCAGACTCACGCAGCCACACGCGGTGACACAGACTGAAGGAAGATCCCGGGCCGATGGGTGCAAGGTCTTGTAGATCCAAAGACGGAGGACACGTGGGTTTCTTTCATGTTAAGGAGGCTATACCAGAGTCGGGTGGGTCCCAACGCGAATCGCTTCTGAGTTACAAAATGAACAGAACCGACCCAGAGGCACATACACACCGGGGGAAGACAGATGCCAAGGAACTCACAGGGTTGCCAACAAGGAAGGATCTCCCCCTGCGGCCACACACGCCCAGAGCTCACTCGTTTCCTGGCCTGGAAGAAAATAAGCACCTGATCTTTGGAGCCCTCTGTGTGTTGGCGCTTCTGTTCCGGCCACGCTGGGGACCCGAGCCAGGACCCTATGTTGGCTATCAGGAGGAAGGAACACACTTTCTGGTACTTACCGCCTGTTCAGCAGAAATTTGGCCCCAGGGGAGGCTGGAAGATACAGTCCCAGAAAGGAAAAGGAACTAACACTTGGTGTCCCACCATATAGATGCTTGACACCGAGGTTAATCCTGGAGGCACTGAGTGGGACCACCAGAAGCGCTGGTGGCCTAGTGGTTATGCATTGGGCTGCCATCAGCAAGGTCCTCAGTTTGAAACCACTTCTGCATGGTGGGAGAGATCCCCTGGGGCTACGCCAGTGAACAGTTGAGAGTCTCCAAAACGTATTGGGGGCCATTCTACCTTGTCCTACAGGGGCGCTAGGAGTCCGCATTGGACTCGACGGCAGTGTGTTCCTTTGCTGTTGTGTTGGTCGTTTGAGCACCACAGGGATTTCAGTGAGGACTGCTGGGCACTGCGCACTTCTCCCGTGGGCCGTTCACTGTGGCGGTGTGGGCGAACTTCCTGCGCCTGGACAGAGAGCTCGCTGCCTGGGAAGTAAGGTAGGGAGGCCAGGGTTGTTCTACTCTATAGAGCCTATAGCGTGGGAGGGACTGCTGAACCTGAAGGGTTGTCTGCCAGAGAGGGACATGAGGGGAGAGTCAAGCTGTGTCCCCCACAGGGGAAGGTCATTTCTCTCTGAACGTTCCCAGGTACTCCTGGGGTGCAGGGGCATAGCCCCAGGAGGAGTCCCCTTTGACCCTGAGGCTTCTTGTTGGAGCTGGCCCCTCTGGCTCCTGTCTCGGGGGGGAGGGGTGACCACCCTTTAGCTGTTGGGGGTGGGGGGTGCCCACCCTGTAGCTGTTGGTCCTCTGACCAGCTCCGGACCTGAGGGTTACCTTTTGCAGGGGCCCCGTGTCTGCTTTCCTGCTGTTTGGTACTTTGCGTCTCCTGGCTCTTTGCTGCCTGCTGAGACTTGTGTTCATGGGTCACGTGCTTTGTTATCTGTTCCTACCTGCCTCTCATCTGCCTATCTGGTTTCTGCCTCGCACAGACTGCTGCC